AGTGATATTTCCCACCAGAAAATGAAAGCATCAGATGAAACATGTATCTTTTAAGAAGAGAAATGCAAATTTTGGGGAGTGTGTTTCTGTTCACTGAGGAGAGCCTTTCCTTATTAAGTGGGGGGTGTTTTCCTTACTGTGACTAGTCCTGCACTAGTTCAGAAGAATGAGAATTCTCTAGCCTTGGTGAGACACGCGTGGCCACCTGAGCTCAAAGAGCTAATGCAGCAGGACACCAAGATAATGTTAAGTTTCATTGTGTAGCTAGAGAAAGAAACCCTCTCTCAAAATCTCTGCATGTCGGAGTCACAGGACATTCCCCTCCTGGGCATGAGGTTCCAGCAGCTCTGCCTCATGGAGGAGGAGACTTAGCTAATGCTCAGCAACTTCCCTCCAGACCCAAAACCAGTCTTGGGAGATTTAACTCCCCACTGTTGGCGGGATTAGCTCTAATCGAACATCTGATCTGGGCTTGGCTTGTTCCGACTGGGAAGCCAGCACTTGTGTGGCTATAGTCTGGCAAACGAGGCACCAGAGGCTCATGTTAGTGGGGAATCCAACCCCCAAACTAGAGGCAGTGCTCTGAGGCGCCCGTGCTGGGGAGGGTGGGGGGTAGGCAGGAGGTGACCTACACAGAACTGAAAAACAGCCACACTGTCTACATGTCGTTTTCCAGACCAGACTGCTGCTTTGACAGAACCACTCAGAGAACAAGGACTACAAATCAGTAAATACAAGAGACCCAAGTCACTTCGATGACACTGGGAGGCAGTGCAGACCATGGCAGAGCTAAACAGACCTGGCAGCTGGGAGGCAAGCAGATATCGGGGAGCTCAGAGGCCTCAGGACCCAGGGAGGAAGACCTGTCTACCGGCTTTAAAGGACTTACTTACCCCCAGGCCTCACGTGGTTGGGGAGGGTGGGAGGGGCATCCCAGAGCCTGGGTGGCCTCGTTCCCAGTCTAAGCCCTTTCCACAGTGCAATGCTCGGCTCCCACGTCTTTCATTTCTGCCATTGCTCTATTCCAGAACCGCATATACAATACCCTCCATTTTTCAGGGATAACCAGCTATCACCTTCTCAGAAGGGCCTTTCCTGACCACCCCACCTAAAGCAGACCCCCAAGTCAGTCCCTGTTTTATTTTTATGACCGTGCTCATACTGTCCTGTTAATGCAGTAACTGCCCTCAGCCATGTAAGCACTACGAGAGCCTCGCTCAGCACTATCTTCCAGGTCTTACGACGCTGTCTGTCATCTGTTAGGTGCTCGCTAAGTGCTGACCACTGAGGAAACAAGTCAACTACCTTATGTAGAGAAGTTCTGAATTCCCAGAACAAAGGGGAGGGGCGATGGCAGGAACAGTATCATTCCTAATTTACTAAAATTTTTATGAATGCAAATCAGGAGCTCCTCCCTGCAGTTCTTATCAAATGGCTGGCAGTGTTGCTCTCTGAAAGGAGGCCAGTGACTTCAAAAGCTGCAGGATCAGCCCAGCAACGGCAGCAAGAGAAACACTACAGACTCTGATAATGTGAAGGACACCAACAAGCCAAAGCAGCTGCTGAGACTGGGGCAGAGGTGGGGTGCACAGGGGAGGTACCTTGTCTTTCAGGGACAGGGTAGAAGGAGCACCTTCACTTCTAGAAAAAAATAAGTGGCAAGAAAGCACAGTGCCAGCTGTGACATTAAAAGATGTCTGAGATACACTACAGGACAAAATATACTTTGCCTAATCTTGTCTAAAATACTACATAATATTGATTAAGGACACAAAACCAAATACCAAACTCTGAAGTATAGAAACCTGCTTCTGCATGATTTTTAACAGAAATAGCGTTAAAGATTTTGGAGTGACCACAGGTCCTCAGGACACTGTACTTGGGAGGGTTGTCCACTGAGAAGCAGAGCATGGAACGGCTGCTGCCCATACCTAAGTGTTCAGTAATTAAAAGGACAACATTCTTTTAAAAAAGAATGCAAAAATCAAATACAAAAAGCATGGGTACATGCTTGCTACTAGAATTACCTCTACTATGACACAGGGCCTGGAACTGTCCCCTCTGGGTCCCTAATGTCCCAGCTGGGAAGCCAGATCAGAAGAGGTCCTCCATTAATAGCCACTAAATGGAATTAAACATGGACATCGTCTGTGATACCAGTTTTCAGGTATCTTATTTGGTCATCTGTATGAAGGGAAGATCCTCTTTTCCGAGAAAAGCCTGCCCCTCAGCTTAGAAGAGTTTTGATATCATGAAACTATAATGATGGCATTTTGAAGAACCCGGGGATTCTGACTCAAGATCAGGAACGTTTCACAGAGGAGAGGGCAACTGGGTTAGGTCTCAGTGAGCAATGGAGGGAAGAAGGCAGGCATATAAGATACATGAACAACCGTCGGCGGTGGGTGTTACTCCCGTTTCACAGTTGAGGAAAGTGGATAGTGAATAGCTCAAGGAGACCGCCCAGGCAAACAGCTGATTAGAAATTCCTATCTATCTGGTACCAAAATGTCTACAAGCTTCTCTGGGAAAGTCCATTGAAATTGCAGCACCAAAATGGAGTTCTAGAGTAGTAAGCAGGGGTCATGTGTTCTAGCCAAGAACCCAATGATCTGCAGGTTACTGGTCTCTCCTCAGAAACACTGCAGACCCACCCGTCCTTCCTCGGCAGAGGAAGCGAGCTTTGCAAGCAAGGGACAGCATATGCGGCAGCGGCAGTATGTGGGGGGAACTGCTAATAATCTTGTTTGGACTGAGCCCAGGACTCTTGATGGCTAGGATGGAGGCAAGGAAGAGAGACCAAAGGGAGAGGCCAAGAGAGGATACAGGTAGAAAGAACCACACTAGCTGGTTTGCACTTTATCTTCCAGACAACAAAAAGCACTGACCGTTCTCAAGTTGGGAGGTGGCACAATCGATTTGTATTTTAGCAAATCCCTCTGGGAGCAACATGGAGGCTCGATTGGCAGAAAAGAAGCTGGAGGTGGGAAAATTATCCAAAGGCTATTCCAATAATCCAGACAGACAGTAAAGTGGGGGCTGGGGCCATGATGAGAGGAAGGACTCAACCAACACAGGCCATGAGGACAGACCCGATGGAACCTGGATGTGGGCTAGCTGGAGAGGGAGCAGAATCGAAGGTAGCTCCTTAGGGAACAGGTTGTCACTGGAAAATATGTCAATGTATGTGAAGTCAAAGCTCAGCACAACTAAGTCAACTTACAAAGCCAGGTTCCCACCAGGGCTGGTGGCCAGTTGGTCAAAATTATGGTCACTACAGTTAAACAACAACAACTAAACATCACCTATGAATACTTGACTGGGATCCAGCAATGCTCACCAGTAAAGAAAAGAGCCTGATTGCAGAATACAGTTAATCAATTCTCCATGCCATATTTTTAAATAATAGAAAAAATACATAAAGCCCCTCTTTCTCACTAGAAGTAGATTACTTTTAAGTATCTACATATCATCTCCACTGAAAAGAAGTCTCTAGAGCAAGCCCTTCTAAGTCCTGGGCTGGAATGGGTCTGGGCACCTCACACTCAGCCCTGGGCTTGCAGAGTAAGAGGCCTTGGTGGTTTTGTTGTTGTTTTCCTTCTGCAGGCAGATTTGCCACTGGTCAGTAAGGAACAGCTGAGAAGAGTTAGGAGAAAGGGAAAGAAGAAAGATTAAAGGGGCAAGAGGGGAAGGAAGAAAAGAAGAGAGAAACACATACTATATTACAATAACATAGCCGGTATAAAAACCATCCGATTTTTAAAAGCACTAATTGGATTTTGATGGAGTTTCCTCTTTAAAGGAGCAGTGTTGAATGCATCAGCGCGAGCAAGGAGATTCACAAGCAAGTTGCCTCTGTTTATAACTAACGTCAGCAGGAGGACCAGAGAATCGTTCTTACCATGTTTCAGATGTAGGCAGCTGTCATTCTTGGACCTGTACCTGCAGAAAATTGTGTCTTTAACAAATTTTTATTGAAGAGCTTTTTGTACATTCCAAATACGTAGTAGCTATAACATCATGTGGACTTGTTTGCTTTACTTTTTATGGTTCTTATACCAGCCATTTTTATTTGTGCAGTACAAGTAGTGGCCTTCCTTTTAACGAAAGAAAAAGTAATAAACAGGACCTCACTGGTTGATGCCTTGAATTAACGTCCAGGAAAGATAAAACCTGTTGTCATGTTTTGTAATTTCAGAAAACCCAAACCACAGAAAAGATTCTCAGGGACACATAAGGTAGTGTACTACACAATCAGAACAGACGCTGTCACTGTAAGGGGCTGTGGAGACAGAAGCTCAGCAGAAGTATCAGGACAGAGACAACGACAGCAACAACGAGACACAGGCCACCGCAGTCAACCACCAAGATTCTGGGGACGGGGTTTGGGGAAGGAGCGCTCAGACGTACCTTCACACAGTCACATTTAAAAGAAAGGTCTTTTAGACATTTTTAAAGACTGTCAGGAAGGAAAGCAGAGTTTAGAAAACCACGGGTTACAGGTGCAGAAGATACTGCTTTAGAAGGTGTTTGTCGCACGCAGGAGAGCGGGCTGGGAGGTCACATGGTATGCCTACCTGACGTCGACTCCTGGAGCTTCTCTCTCTTCCTCTTCTTCTTCTTACCCTGGAAGGAGACGGACACACGGTCACGTTAGAGACTGGACTGCAATCACAGGCATGAAGGGACACAACGGTACAAAAGGCAGGCAGGCAACAAAGAGAAGTGCCTCATTCTCACTCTTTAATTGACCATCTATACCTAGAAACAACAAAAGAGAGAGAAATTCTTACCTCTTTGTGACCTTTGACTCCCCTGCTTTGTATTTTACTATCAAAACTGACAATGGAAGTGGTCTTCCACTCACACACTGGGGTAGTGATGTCCTAGGCCTGTGACCACAGATGCCCACTCAAGCCAAGCCCACTTACAGAGGCATTCTGTTATCAACCACCACACTTGGAATCCACTTCTGGTAGTGTTCATGATAACAGTCCCTTCTTCTCAATTCCACCATGTCATTAAAAATTCACAATATTAGGTGAAGACCCTTAGCCCCCAGGGCACAGGCATGACATCATCAAGGATAGCGGCACAAAGGTAAAACTGAACACAAAGGTAAGACTGAACCTGAGAAAATGAACAGTGATTTCAAAGATACTTCTGGCAAATTTGGACCTTGTATCCTAAAATAGACACAATAACACGAATACTCCTGCAATCTTAAATACATCTTGAAATCACCTTCACAGATTTACAACTTTAAGTCCCATTTATGGTAGTCTAATTTTCTGTTTTTCTTCATAATTTCCCCTAAAAAGTAATTATAACAGGGAATAGACACAGTACATATTCAGTTTCTGTGTACAGTAAATGGCCACCCGGGATTAGGATGGTATTTTCACAGAACTATACAGAACACACATCACATCCAATAGTTCTAGCTTCTGTCTGCTGTGATAATCACATTAACAACATAAAACTGCAAGATTGCATTGCACATCCTGTGTGAATGTATAAAAGTCTGTTTTTATGCACCTCAGGATAGTTTTTCTACACGTCCCGTGGCCTGACCACTGAAGCTTTAAAGCTTTGGGAGCTTGACTCAAACTATCCTCAGAAACAGCAGATATTCATGCCTCTGGGAAATGGCCTATCAAAAATAATGGAGTTGCCTTTAACGCTGTTATTAAAAGCACTTTGGGAGGAGGGGAGCAGACAGAAGGAGAGCTTGCTTCTCAAGGGCTTCCTCTATTTTCCTTGCAAATGGCATAACTGTGGTTTTCAGAAGATACTATGAGGTTGTTTCATGTGTCAGGAACTTCTCACTCTCTCCTCTGGGCTCCCATTTACCCTTCAACACTCATGTCAAGTGCCAGCTCTTCCAGGAATCGTCTCAGCCCTGCTCACCTCCAATCTACCCTGGTCTGGTCTGTCCCCACCCCTCCCTCAGGTGGCCCTCATTGCCAAAACCCAGTTCCTTCCAGTGGCTGCAGCAGGCCGGGTCCCTCAGGCCCTCCCCACAGGGCTCTTGGCTCCAAAGAGCACCATCTGAGCATCTCAGCACATCTCTGCTGCTTTGTGCAGGCCCCACATACCCGACCATGGCCTGAGGTGTCGGAGCGCTACTGCCTTTGTAAAATGACCTGTATTAGATTCTTGGTATGAACCACTGTTTCAAGAGAACCAACATTTTATGCAGACAAAAAAGACTTAAGTAGTTTGGATGTTCTGATGTCAGCTTCTACAAAAAACTCATTTGCGTGTGGCTAATATAAAAATATTCTTCATTAAAATGATATATAATACTGGGGATATTAAGCATTAAATTTAAAAAACTCTAACAATACAAATATCTGGTTGATCTCACCTAAGAAAATATGTGTACTGTTGATTTATGAAAACTTTGGTTATAAAAGTTACAAAAAATAAAAATGATAAGTACTGAAGTTATAAAGTCTATGTTGCCACAGAATAGAGCATTTTAATATTAAAAATTGATATAATATTTAATATGAGGATAAGGACACTAACTGCTAAGATACAAGGCATGCATCTTGTTTAGACTCCATTCCTATTCTGCTATTTTAAGAATAATCTCTTTAGGGGCACCTGGGTGGCTCAGTGGGTTAAAGCCTCTGCCTTCAGCTCGGGTCATGATCCCAGGGTTCAGCTGAGCAGAGAGCCTGCTCCCCCCCCACTCCCTCTGCCTGCCTCTCTGCCTACTTGTGATCTCTGTCTGTCAAATGTATAAATAAATAAAATCTTAAAAATAAATAATCTCTTTAGCTAAAGCACTATCACTTGATCGACTTCTGTTTGCCTTGGTAATTAATAGGCTTATATTTATTGTTATAAAAATTGTATGTAACAAAGCTGGGTTTTCCATTCATTCCAGGGGAATCCCACAATCAAGTTATGCCAAACAATTTCCTTTAAAAATTCTGCAGAAGAACATCTTTAAAGGTAAATTCACATTATATTGGCTTTTTCAAAACTACTTTCTTCTCATCTCCCCACATGGAGAAAAGGAGAGAGGGACAGAATATGTGTTTATCTCTTTTTAAAATTTTATCCTTTACCTAAGATTCAGAATGGAAACTTCCTTCAAAGATGTGCAGCAAGCAATGCTAAATCTATACAAATCCACAACACAGCATAGTTCTTCCATGGGTCAAATCTGTCCAGAAAGATGCTAATTGTTGCCCAGAGAACAGAAGCACAGCTCAGGGAAGAAAACTCTTGAATTAGAGCACTCGACTTAAGAAGGCGCTGGAAAGACTGTGCTAGTCTCCTGCGGAGAAGGCAAACTGCATAGATTTTCAGAGTTCAGGAGACCAGGGTATAACTGCAATTTAGCCACTACGTGGCCTTGGACTAATGACTCAACCTGACCCCTTCATTTCCCCCATATTGCATTAAGATGCAATAACACTATTCATGACCCTAAATTACTGTAAGGATTAGAAAATATCACAGAAAACATTAAAGACAGTTCTTGACAACAGGCATATGGTACTTATTAAAACAACCTAACAAGAGCTCAGGAGAGTCTGAGGAGCTGCTGCTCCTCAGTAGCAAGCCCACGACTCTTCCTTCCTGTGGCAAAGCTGTAGCCAAAGCTTAAGCTTCAGATCCCGACCAGCGGTGACGTTCGTCGGAGCACGTTACAGGAAACAAATGTGTGCCAAAAGTCCTGGTGTCCCGTTATATGGGATGTCTGACCTCAGACATGGGGCCCCACAGGACCATCTACAGCAGTAGTCACACATTAAATTATATATTAATGGTTTTACCCTCACCCTTTTTGAAACGGGACAACTCTATGTAATATTAAGGCTGTCCTAATTGGCTTTTCTAATGCCAGGTGCACATGGAACACTGAAAATGAACTTCAAAAATTTTAAATTAGGAACTTAAATATTCAAAATTATTCCCTTTAATAAAACATAAAACTGAAATATATAATTTATAATATACTTTCTCAGTAATAGTCTTTGCTGTATCAAGACCACATTAGTAAAATCTACAAATTCTAAAATAATAATGGGCCTTATAAATGGGGTATTTCTGGCCAATTAGTACAACTTAAAAAATATAATACTTATTCCATCTGAATAAAATACATACTAGACATCAAGGTACAGTAATATGAAACAAAAAAATTTTTAAGTCCAGCTTTAATTAGTCTGTGGCAAAACAGTCACTTGAATACATACTTTCTTAAGAATTAGATAATATCTGGTGACTAACATAACATATTAAAAAGAAAAAGAATTAGATCCTTTTGGAAAGAAATTTGACATTAAGTATCAAAGAGCCTTTATAATGTTTATATCCTTTAACTGAACAATTCCACTATTGTGAATCTATCCTACAGAAAGAATAGCGATAAATACAGAAAAAAAAAACTGTTATGTATAGATAGCTTCATTGTAGATTTCCAGTTGTAAAATAATAGTAATTTAAATGTCTAAGAAACAGGAAAAAATGGTTAATTGTGACATTCATTGAAAATAATATAGCCATTAAAATTGATACATAGAAACACTATGCTAAACAGAAAAATGCCTTTTTTTTTTTTAAATTTTATTTACTTATTTGACAGAAAGAGATCACAAGTAGGCAGAGAGGGAGGCAGAGAGAGAGAGAGAGGAGGAAGCAGGCTCCCTGCTGAGCAGAGAGCCCAATGTGGGGCTCGATCCCAGGACCCTGGGATCATAACCCGAGCTGAAGGCAGAGGCTTTAACCCACTGAGCCACCCAGATGCCCCAGAAAAATGCTTCTTATGTATGAGAGCATGACATCAAAGTGTATGTACACACACACATCCAAGTTAAAAAACCATATATACACAGAAAAAAATACCTAGAAGATAATGTAACTAGTTATTACTAATCTCACCTTTACATCATGAGGTTATGGGCTTTTAATTTTTTATTTTAAGGATGTATTTCTTGGGGCATCTGGGTGGCTCAGTGGGTTAAAGCCTCTGCCTTCGGCTCAGGTCATGATCCCAGGGTCCCAGGATCGAGCCCTGCATTGGGCTCTCTGCTCAGCAAGGAGCCTGCTTTCTCCTCTCTGCCTGCCTCTCTGCCTGCCTCTCTGCCTACTTGTGATCTCTGTCAGATAAATAAATCTTAAAAAAAAAAAAAAAGAAAACATTTCTTTTACAGAGAGAGAGAGCATAAGCAGGGTAAATGGGGCAGAGGGAGGAGAGGGAGAATCTCAAGCAGAGTGTCTGCTCAGTGCAGGGCCCAAGGCAGGGCTTGATTCCATGATCCTGAAACCATGAAATCAACAGTTGGCTGCTTAACTGACTGCACCATCCAGGCACCCTGAGATTACAGGTTTTTAAAAAAATCATTTTTCACCAGCATTTTAGTGGATTTTTTGGATTAAGTTTTACTTTAAAAGTGCATTATATAACCAAAGGGTAAAAAGCTATGACAGCTCAAAGCTTTGCACAGTTTCAGTTACCCCTGGTCAACCAAGGTCTGGAAGCAGACAATCCTCCTCCTAACATGGCGTCAGCAGGCCAAGAGAAGGCTAACAGAACTTCACAATGCCTACATCAGTCATCTCACTTCATGCCATCATGTTATCATCTCACATCATCACAAGGAGAGAGGTGAGGATAGTACAATAAGATATTTTGAGGGAGACAGACTACATTGACATAACTTTTAGTACAGTATATTGTTATGTTTTTGTTCTATATTATTGTCAATTGCTTACTATGTCTCCTTTATAAACTTTATCATAGGTATATATGAACAGGAAAACACATAGTACATAGAGGGCTCAGTACTATTGGTGGTTTCAGGAATCTCCTGAGGGTCCTGAAATGTGTCCCCAGTGAATGAGGTAAGATGGGGGAGATACTGTACTCTAAAACACATTTTCATCACAAAAGTAACAGAAAGGCGCCTGCGTGGCTCAGTCCATTAAGTGTCTGCTTTTGGCCCAGGTCATGATCCCAGGGTCCTGGGATGGAGCCCTGCATCAGGCTCCCTGCTTCAAGCTCCCTGCTCAGCAGGGAGCCTGCTTCTCCCACCGCCTCCGCCTGCTGCTCCCCCTGCTTATGCAGATCTCACTCTCTCTCTCATTCACTGTCAAGTTAATAAAATCTTAAAAAACAACAAAACCAGAAAGGAAGTATGAGTGAAGGTAGAGAGCTGTTGGTATGCAGAAGGAGCTTACATAATTGTCTCTCGCAGACCAGCCCGGGTAGAGCTGCATGTGTAGCTGTCTTTCCTTCCGTGCTAATTCATAATATTTAGCCTGCTCTTCACGGGAGAGGGCATGCCACTAAAACAAAAAGAAGGAGGAAAACAAATCAAGGTAGGCAAAAGAGCAATGACATTCTATACTTCACGTTTCAAACGTTAAAGGATGAAAATATTCAGCACTGAAACTCTGATGCATTTTTAGATGGCAGAAGGGCAAGAGCTGTGGAAGTGCACTTGGAGTCTGGCGGCGAGACTGAAACTCCAACTTTGGTCTCTACTCTGTTCTCCCATATCACATGAAACACATCAAAGGCAATTAAATATCCAAAGTGAAATGATCTGCCCCCCACCCTTCCTCTTTTCCAGTATAAATTAGAAAGAACTTTGACTGGTGAACCTCAACACCTTACTTAGTACTTTCTCAGTCTGTACCATATTCTGGTATTTGAAACCAGGTACCATTTATTTATGCAAAATGTGATCATTTCCAGATGTCTTCCACACAGATGCACCTTCACCTTACAAGGATAATGCTCATCTGGCATATAGAGAGTCTGAAACCTTCTTCCTAAGACCTCAGGTCGGTCCGCCTCCATCCCATCACCCTCTCCTCACACTACCTAGTCTAGTGGAAGCACGCTGACAACACTGTCCAGTCACACGTGCGCTCTTTACGGCTATGGTGTTTGGCTTCCTTCTGCTGGAAAGCGAGGAGTGCTATCTAGATTTATTTTGCCATCTAGCACCTGAGATTGTAGTATCTAACCTGGAGAATGAAATGCCTGATACCCTGCCAACTTTCCATTTCCCTTCTAATAACAGACATAATTATGTATCATATACAGCAAAATAGCTTAGGTATGCAAGGCATCCATTCAGGAATTTAAGCAGCTTACATTTGCACATTGCTTTGCATATGTTTGCACACGATTCACTTTAGGTGCCCTAGCAGATGGTTTTCAAGTATTTTCCCCACTTCTTTGGTGCTAGGATCTCCCCTAGCACCAAACTTCCAGGAGAACCAGCTGGACTGGGGGACCAGCTAGCCAGAGAGGATGGCACAGAGGTACAGCCACGGGAGGGCAGACCTGACCCACGCTGCAGGCACACACACGCTGGCTCAGCTCGCTGCCCACTCCTGCTAGCCTCAGCTCCAGGGTGCTAAGCATTCTTTCTCATTCAGCTGCCCTAAGTGATTTTAATTTCCCTGTCCCAGTTTTAAAAAACAAGGACAAAGAAAAGAAACGTGTGGCTGAACTGGGGTGGGGAAAGGACAGATGAGCAAGGGAGAGGCCATGAGAGAGAAAAGCGCTCCTGGAGGAGGCTCCTGGGGTACGGCTAGGCAGCATTCCTCAAGAAAACCCCTGGGCTCGTGTTTGTTCCAGGATCAGGGATCTGACCTCAAAAATACTGGAGTACCTTCTGCCACACCCCACCCTCCCACTCCAGCTTCCTGTTGCGTGGTGCCCAAGGGCCGGGCAGCGGATTCAGTTCCTTCAGAAACCCCAGAACCGCTGGGCCTCTGTGTTGGGATAGGACAGATGGCTTCTTTTTCAATCGCTTTAGAAATACAGAGTGTCAAGTAGTTAAGAAGCAGGACATACACAGCAGGACTTGGGTCTGAACCCAAGGGCAAATCAGGTAATTTGCTTTTCCTTTAAAAAACGGTGGAAGGTAGGGGGGCGGGGGACGGACACTGGGAAGGTGGCAGGAAAAAAAAAACCCAAAGTAAGTTACCTGAGACAGAGTTCTTTGTACCGGCAGGGTGAACACAATTAGTGAAATCAAGCCTAAGAAGGAGGCATGTGTGGGACGGAACTTCAAGTTTAAACCAGGCTTCTGCTAAGCCCAGGCCTTCCTAAATCCGGAACACTGACCCAGTACTAGAGACCTACACAGGGTGGAAAACAAACTGCACACGTGGAAAAGATCCGCTTTGATTGTCTGTTTGGGGTTTGTTTTGTTTCTAAGAAAAGACTGATCATTAATATTTATACAGTTCTGGAGCTAAACGTGATTGGCAAGAGGCAAAATGTTACCAAACGGAGAGACAAGACAAAAAGAAAAAAAAGTAAAACTATAACTTCTGTAAATTTGTTTATTCATTTGACAAGTCAGAGCTCTCTTAAACTAATGCAACATACATCAGTATAATTTTATATAGTTTCTGGCAGCTTTGTAACTTGCTGAGAAAACCTGGAATAAGTTTTATAAAACATATCTCTCAAAATATATAGAGAGATTAGGTCTTTTACCCAAACACCGGTTTTTACTTAAAACGGGACATTTAGGCTCACAAAACGATCCCCAGCTAACAAAACTGAGCAAATGCAAGGAGAAAAAACAGGCCACAAACTATTTTCTTGAATTTTCAATTGCTCTTAGTTCCCTGATATTTCTAATGCCCAAAATCTTCCCACAAATAAAAGATCATTTACCAGAGTAAAACAGTAGGTAAAACAACGGTATTAAAGCCTTGTAAATAAAAACAAAAAGTCTAGTACAAATTAGAGAGATGGTCTTTATAGGAATTTCTGAAACACAATGGGCTAAAAACTTATCTTTCTTTTGCTTGTGAAAAAACTGAATTATTGAAAAAAAAATCTGATTTCATTGTCAGCATTTCCCAAGTTGAGAAAATACCAATTTAACTTTGGAAAATGTATAGAGTCCAAAACAAAACAAAACAAAACAAAAAACAATAAATTTGCAACAAATAGACATTGCTTAACAGCCTAGAAGGTCTGAAAAGGCTTCTTTTAAAATGAGATTTGTGCTATTATTATTTACAAACATGAAGAAGAAAACTTTAATTTATGTGACTGAACATTTCTTTTTAGAGATACAGTAAAGATGAATAAAATCAAAAATTAAAAATGTTACAGAATGAATTTAAGTTCTACTTTTAAAAATTCTAATTATGCCAGTGTAAAACTTCATGATTTTAAAGCAGGATCTTTAAAGAACTAGCAAGGACTACCCTGCCAGAGGGGAGTTATGAAAGGATAGAAAACCTGATCTTAATCAAAGATCTCAGAGACCTATAAATAGAAGCAGGTGTCCAGATCAAAGACAGAGAGAGATCCCAAATGAGAACCATCTTTTAGGACACACGCTCTGATCTGGGGATCGTTAAGGGAGCTGAGAAAGTAGCAATTGTTGGAAACGTGCATTAAAAATAGGAAGCATACCTCTGTATTATATCCCTACTTACTCTCTTGAGCAGGAAAATAATTCCCACTGGAGGGTCAGGGGACCTCTAACTCAAAAATGAAAAAAAGCTAAGAGTTTTATATAAACTGAAAAAAGAACATCAACCCTTCTTTCCCTCTGGTTTCTTTAAAGGGTCAGGGGGAATGGTCATCAGCCTTTAAGCTTTTAAGGTGAAGTTCCTCAAAGATGACGGGAATCATTTATCTGCTATGCTCTGGCTTGGGAAATCACTGTAATTATTGTTATTACGTGTTTAAGAATCCACAGGGAGGGAGAGTACTGTACATGGGGCACCAAGAGAGCTATAATCTGCCACCACACCCTACCCCTGAAACCCTGGTGTCCTGCAGATTAGAAATAACTACATTTTTATTCTATTCAACAGGAATCGATAATACAAGAAAGCCTGTTGCCCCCCATCTGTTCACATGGCCTGGCAATCTCCTGCATGTCTTCCATTATGAATGCTGAAATTTATTAGGTTTGTATCAAAAATAGTAAAAATTAACCACAACAACAGCTAAAACACAATCATCTAAGTTTTACAAAGGCTGTTAGGCCTTCCTCGCCTAAATGTTCATTTACAAATCATGAATTCCTTAAGAGGTTGCAAAAACAAATATATGAGTTCATAACTGAAGTAACTATCACACACATACAAAGAGCATCAACAATTAAAATGAAGCCTTTCTAAAATGATATTGTAATATTATAAAGACTCCATTTTTTTCCACCACTCCTCAGATACCCAATATTTTAAAACCATTTCTATCCCAAGAAAAGCACCTGGAAAGACTTAATAGCCTCTGGGCTGGTGGATGGATAAAGAAATCTTGAGTGTCTGTCTTGGTTGTAGCCTAGAGCCTGCTATACAGCAGGTGATCTGAAAAGTATCTTGGCATGAGTTAAAGAAGCAATGAAAAGGAAAGGGGCAAGGCACAAACCATGCACCTATACACTTTAAGACCCAGAGAGCAATTTTTCTAGAATAAAGACTTCTCTGGCCCATATAAATTCTTCCTTAAAGCTTCTGAGTAGAACAGATCTACTTCTGTCTCGGGAGGGGTGGCCCCCTGTGTTTGCCTGGGTGTTTCCAGAAGCATGGCTGGTACTGCAAGGCCTTCCCATAGTTCCCTATGTGGGCTAAGTGCTTTCTTGCTTCCGACATGAATGCACACACCTGTCACTCCATCTGGGGAGGGTCCACCTCCCGCCACTAGTCATGTGGTTAATTTCTATTCCTTACTCAGGTCTCAGCTTAAATACCATCTTCCTAGAGGGGCACTTCCCTAGCCCCCTATTATTCTTTCTCATAGAATCTTACTCTTGACATTCACAGCATTTCTCACAGTTTTAATTATACACCAGGTAATTATCTGTCTAGCATCTGTATCCTCTCACAAGACGTTAAGCTCCATGAAGACAAGGACCCGATCTATTTTATTCAGCAGTTATTATCTAATGCCTACCAGAGTACCTGGCACATAAAAGACACCCAATAAAAGATAACAGGGAAAACAGTTAACATTTACAGAAGGTTTTCTCTGTGCTAGGTACAATCTAAACTGTTAACCATGCATTCTATCGTTTAATCCTCCTAAAGATTATTATCCTATCTTCTACTACTTCCCAAAGTGGCTGTGATTATACAAATGCATTCTATGACCACCTTTAATAAGACAGTCCAAGGTCACCATAAACATTTACATCCCACCCTACTACTTACCCTTCTGCCGAGAATCTGGTTGATAGCTGCGCTTTCTTTTAAGGTACACTCAGCGACGACATTCGCTCTCATTTCTTTCATGTATAACATAAAAGCATTCAGAGGCTTCTTAATGTGAGGTCTTTTTGGCTCCTGTTCCTTTCTCTGTTCATGCTGAGGCTTCCTAAAAGGTGGTTGGGATGGTAAGGGGGTGGGGAGGAAGCGACAGGGGAAGGAGGGCACGGGAGGAGAGAAGCAGAGCATCCGTTCATGTCACCGGACAAAAACTCAGGCCGGGGACAATCCTCTAGG